TTAGATATATGATCCACAATAAATTTTAAGGAGCTTGGTATGCAACATGCAACACAACACCTTCACCAACCCTTCATGAAATAGCTGTAGCTAGTCGCTTCTTAACGCGTGGCGGATAGAATACAGTACCGTTTTTGGACAAGCAGCGATCCTCCAGCTGAGATTGGTTCAAAGAATATTGTCATCAATGCTGTATCGTGATGGCGTTGGGTTTTTATTCTCATTTTGATCTTTATTCCTCCAGGTCAAGGACTTTCTGCAACGCTTTGAGACTATTCCCGATATGTTAGAGCTCGATCACTTGACGGTGTCGGGTGACGTCACGTTTGGAAAGGGCGTGACACTCAAGGTAAGACTCCAATTCTTCGCTTAAGTTTTTTAAGTTTTTCATTTTCTCTGGTACTCGATCCTAATGTAGGCTTTTCACCATGACGTGACGTGGTCAGTGACAGCCATGACAGGAGGCAGGAACAATCGAATCAAGGCTAATCTGATTTACATGAACGTTATGACGCTGGCTAACATTTGAAGATAAGGAATAGATGACCAATGGAAATACCTTGACAGAGAATGGTCACGCGTTTATTTAGTGCAAATATATGGTACTCTTCGTACTCCAAACCTAAATTCTAACAAACGCTCTAATTCCTAACCTGTTTTTGACATGGTGCTCGATGTTCATTGTTTCCTCAGGGTACGGTTATCATCATTGCTAATCACGGTGACAGGATTGACATTCCAGCAGGCGCTGTACTTGAAAACAAGATCGTCTCAGGAAATCTTAGGATCCTGGAACACTAAAACAACGTATTAACAGGAATTCGTCTTTCTTGAAGACCAAGTGTTTCTCAGTGAACCTTTCAGCTGAAACTTCCGTCCAAGCGAGAGAATAAGTTTCATGATGTAACAATACTAACAGCTATTCCTTGTTTGACTCGTTTCGCCGGCTGTGGCTCAAGTGTCTTTCCCCGTTAACAAAGTCTACGGAGAAGTCTGTTAGCAGGAAGGCATTGTCTAAGAGATAGTTTCTCGACAAGGCTACATTACAGGAAGCATTCTAGTCGAACTTGTTTGTCAAGTTTCGTTTGCGCCAAGTTTCAGCTGGAAGGTTCACCGTGTACCAGTGTGTTCGTGGTTTAACCACATCCAATAATCATTAGACGATATATATTACTGAATTTAAATTCATTTTATGGCATAAATCATAATAATCATAATTATAGATAATCGTGTATTACACATTTTAAATCGTTATGCAGTTTTTATGCAGAGAAAATGAACAAATAGGCGCTGTGAAAACTGACATTGGGGTATATATATCCCTTGGTATGGGTGTGGCTCCCCACTAGCCCAAACGAATCATACCACCCCTGTCCAACATGTATTGCTACTAATAAACTACCAATGGGAAGAAGATCACAGATGAGGATCAAGAAATCCCCGGTAATGCTTTTGTATTACGCCTATTTTAAGAGGGAAAAGATTTTTTAAAAGAGATGGTAAAAAAAGAGAAAAACATCGCACGATTTGTGATTTAACTCAATGTAATAAATTTTCTCTCTCATGGTTACCCTGTTGTAAGCTAAAGGACTGGTGATTGTTTGCATGTTCGGTTTTTAAAAGTAATAAAATTTATATTTTGGAATATGAGCTGTTTATTTCTATTTTTATTTGTGTTTAATTGAGGAGGCGCACGCATGCGCAAGACTACAAGGTAGACTAATTAGGTACGGGTTTTATTAAGTGGCTGGGGAAAACTAAATGACTTAAGTAAATCGAAAGGAAAGACAGATGAATGAATGGCTCAGAGATAGGATGAACCGTAAAAATCAGAAATTAATTATTAAATTGTCAAACTCGTCACTTGAACGGGTAAGTTGATTTTTGAATGCACGAATCGTGAAACCCGAAAATATGCTATCAAGAATTAAGCTGCGAGAAAATTCCATTTATATCTGCATATCTCGCTTCCCATCAAAACCAAGCGTTTCGGTATTCCTAATGGATAGGTAGCAGACTTAGCAGCGCCACTGAATAAAGAATGGATTCACTTCCTTTTATATTAGTTGGCCGTATGTCAAGCGAAACCCCGCCGCTATCAAACTCGATTGAAAACCAGTAGTTTATAGTGCCTTTGGACTATTTGGATCTTTGGGTATTTCTGCGCCATCTTGTTTACGTCAGCTCCTTACGCCAATGTAATAAAGAAAAATGAATTGAGTTCCAAAAGAGAGAGAGAAAAGAATGGAATAGAGAAAAAGGGAATATCTTATCCCTCCCATGAAGCATCGCGTTCCATCCAAGTCTCCCAAGAGCCTGAGTACTAGTTCTTGTGGTTGGCCGCCATCTTGAATTGACTGTCAAACCGGCCATCAAAACAGGTGAAGCAAAGAAAAATAATTACAATGGTAACCTAACTAACCAAATATTCCACTAACGTCCAAGACCTTTAGTTTACCACTACTGCTAAAGGCCTTCGTGGCTGTTAAAGAAAGAAATGAGCTTTGCGACTGGGGAAATTATTACTTTGAACGTCGGTGGACGACGGTGAGTTGGCATCTTCATGTTCAAAAAAAGCTTTTCAAACGTAATTCTCAAAAAAAAATTTCCTTATATTTAATGTAGCTCTGAATACAGGGAGAAGTTTCGGTATAAAACCAACGTATTTTTTTCGAAGTTAATTCGAAATTTAGGGGTTTTGCAAATTTTTAATTAATGGTGATCAAAATATCGATTCAATGCAAGCTTACAATCGTTGAGGAGTTTGTTTGGAATTTCTTTGACATTATTCATCTTCTAATATTTGTGCRTGATCGAGCACCTGTAAAACTATGTCTACAATCCTATCATAACATATATTTTTAGTTTGCTCGTCTGCTAATGTATATTTACTCAATACACGAACTTAATCTCAAAATATTTATCACCCCTATACAGAAGACTACTATTTTTACACCAAGTTTACGTTAGAGATATTTTCCTCTTCTTCCTCTCTTGCCGACTTTTTAGGTATTCTAAGTGCATTTGCATGTTTACCGTCTGGATGTTGAATGTAAATTCTGTACAAATTATAAGAATTCAATTTGATTTAGTTACAAGTTATAGAAATGAGTCAATCTAAATCTGGTTGTAAGAATTCAATAATTCATGCAACAGTATGAGCACAGCATTAAACTTGAACCCCATAGTGTGACATGGTACATGTAGTGCAATTTACTGACACCTCCCAGTTTAACCACAAAAATATCCACCATTAATTAATTATTTGAAGTTATTATTATTGGGAATGATATGTTAATTTTCAAACATTAAATTCTTCATAAAATTTCTAACATTGAGATTTGAATAAAATTTAATATGGCAATTTCACTCATATTCTTTATGGTTTCAGAGTATATTTTGCTTGGTATTGATATAACGTTTTGCATTTATTGGCTACATTTTGTCTAAGCAGGCCTGTTATTTATTCATACTAAAGGAAATTTTTTGTTCTGCAGATTTTCTACCTCAAAACAGACATTGTCATGGATTCCAGATTCCTTTTTTTCAAGGTATAGTTACATATTTAAGACCTACTCCTACTTTTGGTTAACCAAATTATTTACAATATTTTTTAAAAATTTGTGCTGACTTACTTTCCTCCATTAGTTTGATGAGTGGAAGAATCTCTTCATTACGAGATGAAACTGGAGCTGTAAGTACTTGCCTGGGAGAATAAAGAAATCTTACTTATATCCTAGTAGATCCCTTAAAGGGATTATCACCTTATCATGGYGTGGTAGTTTATTTGCCCCTTTGACCCTTAGAGCTATGTCAGCTGGAGTCTTGTACTCCTGTTAGAGCCGCCCATGCTGAACAGGTTGAAGGACTAAAGATCCAAGACCAACACATTGCCACCTTGACTGCAAACAGTATTTACATTACAAGAAGAATAAAAAACATACCTCTACTTTTCGGACAAATTATAACATATTTCTTGTATTTATTTGACAGATATTTATTGATCGAGATCCTGAAGCTTTTGTCCCTATATTAAACTTTCTTCGAACCAAAGAGCTTGATCCAAGGTTGGTGTCTTCTTATTTGAGCTTATTTGAGCTTATTTCAGCTTATATATTTACGTAATTCAATAGAAACCAAAAAAGACCCTAACATATACAATGTACAACAGAAAAAAGCTAACAAAGAATACAATAGGCTTGCGATACATGCAAAAGGGCCCGATATTCAGTGCATCAGTAGTTTCGAGAAAGATTTAATCATGTTTATTTCTCCTTTCTGCAACATCGCCAACAGTTTTGTACGCCTTATTTTAGCATATATCAATGCCTTAAGAGATATTAGTGATATTTTTAGATTTTATGGAATACATGTATTTGTACTTTGATTCAAGAATTTCTCTCTCTTTTTTAGAGGGTTAGACTTAAAAGTTATTAAGCATGAAGCAGAGTTTTATGGAATCACCCCACTAGGTAGGTCATTATTGGTAGTATCTAAAACCATAGAACACATTTTAAGTAGTTAAAATCGGGTGGTAGGGGGAGGGGGGGACATGATCCATGGGGAACGGAAAACCTCAATTAGAGACCTTTGGCATCAGATTTACAGCTAGCCTTTAAATATTGGGGATCAGGCCCAGAATCAAGCCTGTAAACACACAGAAACACTCAGCATCCATGAAATTTAATTAATTTAATTGAATTAAATTTAGTTAAATTAAATTTAACAGCTTCAGCTTTATGACGCCTTGATAAATGTCAAGAGTTTGAAGAAAAACACCTACAGTTTGCAGTACTGTATCTACACTGTAGCAAGAATGTCTTGCTAAAGGTCCCTATTGTTAATACCAGAACTTCGAGATTTTGATTGAGTCTTGATTCTGATTGTTTTGTCACAAGACCAACACTGTATCAGTTAAATAAACTAAGTACCTGTATGCTATTAGTGTTTCATCTTGCGCACTTGTTTTTCATGTCACTCATTTAAAGCAAGGTATATGTTGAGTGACTGTATAAGTATTATATTGTGTTTCAGTCAAGAGGATCAGACTGTGTGAGGAGGTTTCATGTTCCAAGTGTGGTGATGTTCTGTTCCATGGCTACCTTCATCCTCCAGGTACAGTAATACTTACAGCTGATCTCTTATTACTGTAGGTTATCAAAGGCTACAGTATAATACTGCAGGACTCAATATTCTGCAAACTTAGACATTTCAAGGGCTTGTTGGACCATCAATCAAAACTATTCTGTCAGTTTCTTATATATTTTTGACTGATGACAGTAAAAAAACAAATTCCAATGAGCAGCTCCCCACTACCAAGTTTGCAGAATATTGAGAATCTCAGAATAATGCTGCAGTCATTCTCAATATTCTGCTAACTTTTCTACAGCTGTTGTAAAATTGGTAAACAATGCTTAGCTTTAGTGAGGCTTCTGACATTGTATGCCACAGGACATTGCCTGACTTATTTGATCAATATTGATAGCTATGTAGTTTGTACACTACTATGTGTTGTATGCTTCTAGAACTCCCTCCTCCTACGCAAGAGAGCTTCTTCTCATTGTCCAGGAGAAGCTCAAGCTGTAGCATGGCAAGCAGTCCTCTCAGAGAAGCAGTGCCTAAAAAAGAACCAAGTCTTAGGTCATCTGGTTTATACGAACCTACCTACCCTATGGGTGAGATGTTTGTATATCAATGTATAACATTCCAGAAATTTCTATACTGTACCATATCTTGCCTTCCATCCTCCCTCTCTCTCTCTCACTCCCTCTCTCTATCCCCCTCTCTTTCTCTTTCCCTCCCTAACTCTGTCTATCCCTCTCTCTTTCTCTCCCTCCCTCCCTCTCTCTCTCTCCCTCCCTTTCTCCCTCCCTCTTCTTTTCTAAAATCCATTACTCCTAAAACAAAATTGATTGGTTAAGATAACAAAGAAATGGTAGAACAATAAGAATAATATGACAATCATGAGCATCTTAAAAAATACACATGTGTTCTTTCTTTGCTTTTGTTATTTTATCCAATTATTACAAGCCTTTAATTTTTTACTGGTTGTGGTCAACCCCTCTAGTTGTATCCCTGATGCCTTTGTTTGCTATAACTAAGTGTTGGTGCTTTTTGTTCCTAGAAATGAACCCACGGAAGGCTTTGATAGTGATGGGTCACCATGGTGTAATAGCTGTAGCCTTTGCCCATTGTATAGTATGCTATAAGTAAGATTATATCAAGATTTCTATATTCATGTAATAGAGTTAAGACATATTTCGTTATTTGGTGTAACCTAGTATAATGTTATTGTACAGGCTAAAAGACACTGCTGAATGGGTAATGGTATTCAAATCACCATACCTGGAAAACTGTGTGGAAAAAATGGCCTTGAACGCAAAGGTTTCTGCAGGATCTTTAGGAGACAGGATGGTAGCTGTCTCGTCTGGAACTAAGATAAGACTGTGGAGTTTCACTCATAGTGAGAACGGATATGTCAAATTTGACATTGGTAAGTTGAATGTTTATCCTATTCTTGCTATTGAAACCATCACATTTTATTGACACCCTGAAAAACCTCTGCACTCTTTGAATTAAGGCATTGCCAAGTCAGAGAATTCAGAGAAACAACCCAGAAAAAAAAAAATTTTATCAAGAGAGATATCTAACAATCTCTACTCACATGTGACCGAAGTCCAGGAATTGAAGCAATAACCCCAGGGCTGGTTGCACTACGACTTTACCAAGTGAATGATACTGATGTTACATACTGTGTCTTCGTATAGGTACATTTGATCTGACTGTTATAGTGGATGCACTGTTCTTTATCGGCAGCCAGTTGGTTGCAACAAGTCATACTGGGAAGATAGGGGTTTGGAATTCAATGTCCCAACATTGGCAGGTAAGTAAACTGTGGGGTGTCCAGGGAGTAAGTACAGTGTTACAGTAATAATGTCGATGGATATAAATATTTTTTAACAGCTCACCACAAGAGCATACAACAAAAGATGAATTAAGACGGCACATCGATTTTCTGTCAAATTTGTTTTGTTTTGCCTCCCTCCTCCACCCCCTGGTAAGATGGCCATCCTATCATTGAAGAAGTCCATTATCAAATACTGTAGTAATGAGCACTGACAAACAGTATTTTTGTATAGCACCCAGTATTATTACCTTTCTGGAAGAGGTTCCCATTCGTATTTTCTCTGTATGTTTTCTTTTTTTCTTAACAGAATTATGTCTTAAAAAATTGCTAGCAGGATACGTTTTTTAATGAAAATGCTGCACTCATTTTGTCTCCAGATTCAAGACGTGGTCCCTATCACTAGCTATGACAAGGCAGGATATTTTCTCTTATTAGGATGTTCCAATGGATCTATTTATTATATTGGTAAGTAATCTTACATTTGATATCATGTCTGAATGCAAAAGCCTCAAACATTCACAAAACACAAACATTTATCACACTTTTTCTCCCTTCACACAAAAAAGTGCTTCCTAATTTCCATTTGATGAAGAACCACTTGTTATAAAAAATGGCAGTAATAGATCTATCCTCAAATTTTCTTCCAGATATGCAAAAGTTTCCTCTGCGAATGAAAGACAATGATTTGCTAGTTACAGAGCTGTACAAGGATCCCAATGGAGATATGGTCACGGCATTGAGTGTGTATCTAACACCCAAAACATGTAAGTCTTATCACTAGATGCTTTTCCGGTCTTCATTTTGGAGGATATTTTATACTTCACTTGCTTGGGATACCTGCGGTATTTGTACTTCTTAGTGGTGATCTGCTATAAAAGAAAAATGACGAATTTGATGTAGAATATGTTGAACCCTTTCCCCAGACGTTTTTATTCATGTCTGAATTGAGGGTGTCGTAGAGATAATACAATTGCCTCTCACCTCTGGGGTCTCAAGTTTGATTCTAGAACTTGGCATCACAATTGAGTAGAGCTTGTTAGGTCTTTCCCTTGATTCAAGGGTTTTCTCCAGGCTTTCTTGCTTTCCTCCCTCCAGAATTCAAATTCAATCTGCGAGTTGGCTGTGCCCTGACTTTGATCAGCCCAGAGGTCGTTTCAGGGTTCAATTTGTGTTAGTCATTCCCTGACTTTGATCAACCAGAGACTGTTTCAGGTTATCAATAATATTTGAAGGTTTCTTTTGTCCGATAGGTCTTAGTGGAAACTGGATTGAGATTGCATATGGCACTAGCTCCGGTACCGTACGTGTCATCGTCCAACACCCGGAGACAGTAGGACATGGACCGCAACTCTTCCAGACGTTCACAGTACACCGCAGCCCTGTGATAAGGGTGATGCTAAGTGAGAAACACTTGGTGTCTGTCTGTGCTGAGTACAATCATGTACGTACATGGAATGTTACTCGCTTTAGAGGGATGATATCCACGCAGCCTGGGTCTACACCGCTGGCTTCGTTTAACGTGGTCTCTCTGGAAGAGACAGAGACTCATCCTAGTTATTCTGCTGGAAACTCATTAGGTAAGTAAAGATGTTATACTTACTCCCCACCCACCACCACCCCTCCCCACCCCTCCCAATCCACCACCACCCCTCCCAATCCACCACCACCCCTCCCCACCCCTCCCCACCTCTTACACACACTCGCAACATTAAAAAACGGAGTTCTCTGCAAAAGAGAAAAGATTTGGATGTGTGTGTGTGTGAATGAGGAAAGGGAATTGAAAGGAAGACGGTCGCCCAGTTTCGAATAATTGTTTGTGGAGGGGATAACATCTTTAGGGAAACTTACAGGTGTACTTTGAATGACCAGCCTAAAAGTATACAACAGAGAGACTCGCTACTCCTCTTGATTTTGTGCCGTATTTTTAAGGTATCTTTGTCGTTTTTCCTAGGACCGTTCGGCGATCGAGATGATCAGCAGGTATTTGTTCAAAAAATCGTACCTGACACTGACCAATTACACGTTAGACTGTCTTCTACGGGAAAAAGGTAGGTTTATACACGCTGTATCGATTTGAAGTTCCACACTATATCATGTTTTTACATGCAGTTTCTGATGTCACCAAAATTCCTAAATGTCTTTAAGAACAAGCCTATCCCTGTCTGGAGGCATAACACTAATGTACTAACAAATCACTCATGATTGTAAGCTGCACGGCTGCTACTAGCGCCTTATTATGCAGCCCGTAAAGTCCTCCACTGGTCATTAATGTAAAGCGCATTGAGACGTTGTATAAATGCGCTATACAAGAACCTCCCATTATTATTAAAAACAATTGTGTGACGTCATCACTGAGGTAAACTCTATTGTCATGTGTTTTGGTAGGATTTGTACGATACATTCAGTCGATGGGAATCGCATCAGTTGTTACTGCGTCCATGAGTGTGATGGATCTAGTCGGATAGGATCAAGACCAAGGCGGTACCTCATTACAGGACATGATAATGGGAGTATACAGATGTGGGACTTGACGACTGCACTAGAACAGGCTGGGACAATACCAGGTACCTCTTGATGTATCACTATTCAGAGTTACTGTGYATCAGTATTACTAACGCCATTGATTATCATTATTCTACTATTATTTATTGTTTTTATTTGATAGTGTAGATCAGATATTTTAAGTTTAAACACTCGACAAGTTAAAAGTGCTTAAAACAGGGTAAAGAGATAAATAATTGATATCTAACAATCAAGTTGTGAATATCCGTAATCATGATTGATTGATGTGACATTTTGTCTATGTATATGGTATCGTCATATGTAAATGTGTCACGCAAGTTTGTCACACGGCCAGAGTTCGCTGTAAAAGCTGTAGGAAATTCCAGGTAGTTGCGTAGCAACAGAGTCGTATAAACACAATGGTATTACATCACACACTACCATCAGAGCATCACAGAGTCCCTTGCAAGGCGATTTTTGATGCTAGTTTTAGTCTTGTTACCCTTCAACATCAACATCAGACAGCATTTCGTTATGCACAAACCCGTTCGTTAATCTTCGCTGTCCAATTCGTACTCCTTAGAGCTCGTCAGCACGACAGGACCAACTGAGGGGGAATTACTTAAAACCCTGGAACAATGCGACCTTAGTGCATCACGATGCAACACACCATCTCTTTCGCCTGCCTCCTCATTATTACAGACCAACCTTCAGGAGTCCAGGATAAAGCTTTCTCTATCTTGTCCAAGCCTAACGGAGGAGGAAACACCATCGGAGACTGGGTCTAGTCGGAGAAGTTCAAGACACAAACGTGTAATGATTTCTCAATGTTGATAATCTTAACTGAGCCCACATAATTATGCGGTCAGTGGTGTATACGTTCGCTTGCATGCACTCCACACCATGTTAAATTTCTTACACATTTTCTCTCTTTAAATTTACTTTAAACAATGATTATAAATATCATCTACTTCAACACTAGTACTACTCTTAAACTTCAGATTCTCATACTCTTAAAAAACTAAACTGTTTTTATCTAAACAATGTTCACATATTGCTTATGAGCTGTTTTTGGCCATGTTGGATGACAAAGCAATAAGGTAGTCATAACGGAACACATTCTTGTTCCCGAGCCTGCATTCCTTTTGGTCTTTGCAAATAACTAAAGGCCTTTTACCAGCGAATCTTGTAACTAACGAATTTGTTTTCCATTGCTGCACTAGCAATCATAAAACAGTGGACGTTGTAYAAGCCCTTCGTTTATTGGCGGAGGCCACAAGGAACGTGGGCTCWGGGAATGAGAATGGCTAAAACATAATTAACCTTAAACAACACTTCACCCTCAAACTTTAAAAAGTACTTCATTTAAATTGTCTAAATGGTTGAATGTCTCTTGTAGATTRAAGAGGTGCTACAACAGCGTGTAACTTCAAATAACACTCCACGGTCCTACAACACTCAAGACGACTAAATATCTAACATCTTTCGGTGTGTGAGCTTCTTTAAACAGTCATACGGGTCTTCACTTAATCCTGTACCTGACACTGAGCCACTTGAATAGAACCTAATGTATCTAAATATATTAATCATGCTTGTAACCTGAATCTCCAGTAACTACACAACTAAAATGTTAAAAAAAATTATTTAACGTAAACCTGGTGATGTAAATCATCTGAATGTAAAGCCACTGTTTAAYGTACTACCCTCCCCCTTCTGCGTAGAGGATTTTCAATACCTATTCCTACCCAACGATTTCCACMTTAATTTCTGATAAGTTTTAGATCCATTCTAAGAGAATTTCCTGGAAAAAGAAAGAGTGAGAGAATCAAAATAATTAATCTTTTTCGAGTGTTAATATTCATTAGGGTTCTTTTGGCCATCCTTTTGTATTTAGTTTATTTTTCGAAAGTTTGTATTAAACCAACTGCAAATTTTTCTTTCAATTTTTTTTCGATTTAACAAACTTAAATGGAGAGAAGTGATGAAATGAATAAATGGAATAAAGAAGTTAACTTATGAATACAAGTAAAGTTGTGTAAATAACAATTAAATAAGACCATGTCTACTTGTAAACCAAAGCAAGACTCAAAATGTAACATGATGAATTTTTTATCAGTGAATGATTCAAACGTGTTTTAAAAAGTTAAACAAAGTTTAAAATTAGGAAAAAAGAGGCTTTACACCATCACCGCTTGTGGTTAGAGGGCAGAACAATAAAATCCCTTTCCCTCCATCTGTCATGGCTGCAGTCACGTGACGGTGCAAAGCCTCTATACAATGTAGTTCTATCGACATGGCTGAAAACCTTGTGCGCATGCGCCAAATGATGTAAAGGATTCATACCCATGGGAACATGTACGATGTTACTTCCAKAGAATAGCATTTCAGCACAAATACTATAGATATATAAATATTTCAGAAACCAAAAATTGGACATTATTTATTGAAGACAGTTTTAGAGGGCGCTTCAGTATTGTTGACCCTTGTAGTCCAGTTGGTCAATCTTGCAGTAACATTGGTAATTGAATTGTTTATGAGAAAGATGAGCCCGCGACTTCATCCAACCGCTGACTCGTTTTTCAGCCATGTTGGTGCTGCTGGTGCTCCGAGTTTTGAATGAAATAGAGATTGGCATAGAATGTCTTCGAAAATGGCACAAAAGAAAAGGGAAGTGAAAATTGAAGCAAATAAAGTAAAAGTTTTGTTTTGTTTAAAAAAGAATTATTTCCTCTCTTCTTCCTTCCTTCCCGCTTCCTTCCTTCCTTCCTTCCCGCTTCCCTCCTCCCTTCCTTCCTTCCTTCCTTCCTTTCTCTTTAAGCACAAATAACTTGTCTTTTACACAGTGAAATTTTATTTCATTTTTGCCATTGACCATGGTAATGCTATATTTAAACTTTGAACGAACTATAAAATTTATTTCTTTGAAGAACATAAATTTCTGTGAAACTATTTTTCGARCGCTACAAAAATACAATAATTTAAAACTATCAATTATAAGTTAAAATCTATATTCCTATAATACACCTACTTGCAAAATTACTTACTTACTAAATCACATATACTTTTTATTTCTTGCAAAAATTAAGGCAGTGGTTWTAAGCCAATCATAGGACGTGTAATATCTTGACGATTTCACAAACTCCAAGTATTTCAAGAAAGATTTTCGGCGTCAAAGSAGTTAGGTGATTGGTCATTCTAACCGAAAGCAAGTATGGGCATGCATCTTAACACGAATAGTCGAAACTATGTCGACTTCAAAAAACTCTAAATATATAGGAAGAAGAAACACTAGTCATTCCAGCTATTCTTGGTTCTTAAATTACCATATTTTTATTGCTTATCGCCTATCCCTTTTTGCGCCGACAATCTTTTTTGAAATTGATGTATACAAACACTCGTACACCTAAACAAATTACAGAACATACTGACCTGTGTTTAAACACTACTTATAAAATACAAAGTATTTATCATACTGTTATTTCATAACTTAACGACTATTTTACCTCYTTAATACAAAACTTTCATAACGCTTTTTTGTCTAAACAATTTTAAAAGACTAGRATAAATACATCTTCAGGGGCGGATACAGGATTTTTGAAAGGAAGTGACGTTACAGGACACCCGGCCAATACCACAGGAAGCCCAGAAAAGGCGGGAAAATAAAAATAGTGAAATATTGGCATCTCAAATTTACTGAAATTATATTTGAGAGCTTTTTGTAAACGTGAAAGTTTATCTTGATAAATRTTTTAATATTCCCTTTTTTAAAATGATCCCTCGATCCGCCTCTGATCTTCTATAAATGACGACACGTTGCTTAATAACCACCCACCCCTCCCTTCTTCTTTATGAAAAATTCCTTGTTAAATCTAACGCTATAAAAGACGTAACCTTGGTTAATAGCTTCACAAAAGCCACATCTGTGTGGTCGATAAACTTTTGAAGGTCTTGACTGACAGTATAAATTATTATAAATGGTTACATATACATTAATTTGTTATACTATTGACACACTGCACCTAACGCTGTTAAACCTAACGCTATAAAAGTACGAAGACGTAGACCTTGGTTAATAGTTTCACAAAAGCCACATCTGTGTGGTCGATCAACTTTTGAAGGTCTTGACTGACAGTATAAAATATTATATAAATGGTTACATACATTAATTTGATGTACTATTGACACACTGCACCTTTTTTTTTGGATGCCTATGAAGTATTTTTCATTCCGAATYTGATGTCTTCCAGCGAGCATCACCAGCAGCATACTTCTCGATAATCTTTTSTTAGGTCATCAATATTTTCACTCTTGTTCATCGCATATTATGGTGATAGCTTACTGAACAGATACTCTGATACAAGACAATGTGTTTGTTATATGGCTATAAGGACGGTCGGGACGTACTCCTATTTCTACTGACTCTCATCTTTCGTTTTTTGCACACATTCTTAATTTGACTTTGCTACTTTTACCCACACCGTCTATCAATGGCATCTTTTTGGTTCTTATTTCACTCCCTCAAGAAGTGGACGGGTTGGGCTCGGAGACGCTGGTTGAAATACTGTTGTTCGTTAAATGCTTCGTTTAATACTGCTGCGCTTGAGCTAGCTTCCCTCATTTGAATGTCTTCTGGAGGTTGGAGGAACACTTTTCTTTTACTCCGCTTATAGCAACTAGAATAAAAGGAATACTATTAGTATAATGCTGAAAAAAGCGGGACGGGGGGACCATGATCATGAAATCTCAATAGGACATGGTCATAAATGAAGTCATCTCGAGTAAAATGACGTCATACCCAAGTTTATTATGCATATGTTGGAGCTGAGATGTGATGCATTGCTTTGAGACGGGTTTATAATTTGAATATGACCGAGTATGATAGTCTGAACTCAAAAAAAAAAACAAAAAAAAAACTACTAGCTACTTACATTACTGCGACAAAGATTATCAACAGAATGAAGACAGTTCCCCCAACAGCAGCTCCGATGATAATAGATAATAGGCAACATGTCTTTCTCCTTTTTCGTGTTTTCCTCTTCTCTCGGCTTTTCTTTATATAKTGAAAAGTCAATAATGGATGCGTTAAGAGCCTTCTCGATGTCATCTCGAGAGGCGTTCAAGATCTTGAGCACAATTTCACTGTTYACAGTAATGCCGGTCTGTAGCATGACTGCTCGGGGAAAATTGATGTAAAAAGCAATGCGAGCAACTAGAGAGGAAGCTGGGAATTTCTCTGAATTGATTTGAATTGGAAAACCAGGCATCAGATGAATATTGTCTTGGGTCCAAGTGATGAACTCTGTGGAACGCCTGAAAGATTATAATAAATATGAGATTGTTTTCGTGCAGAAAAGGAAGCATTWATGCCAATCATGGGTTTATATTTTCATGGTTAACACTCCTACGTACCTTGCTCGCTTTACTGGACTAGAGCACAGGTTTCCTTCTTCATTACAATATGTTGTGATAGCTTTTGCTATGGCATTTTTGAATTTCTCTTCTTTTGGCTTATTCCACTGAAAAGTGATAAAAAAGGTCAGGCAGCAATCGCGTGAAAACAAAAGTCGAGTTTGTCATTGAAAGTGTCCTTGCTATTGTACYAACTTCTCACCTTGGAAGCATTGAAGTTCTTAACAGTGATGTTGACAGCGTTCATCGTCTCATTCTGGTCTGGTTTCTTCGGTTTTGGGGCCGGAGGAGGTGGAGGAGGCTTTTGTCCTTTCTTAAGACCTTAAACAAACAACACTTACATTAAGACTGGACTACCAAAACCTTGATTCATCAAAATATTGTCCCAAAGTTTGATAAGGAAATAAAGAAGCTTCTCCTTACCTATACACTTGTTGAGCGTGACATTCCAGTAGAGTCCTTCTTCGCACTCGCATTTGTACGACCCATCTGTGTTCACACATTTCAGTGAAGGGTCTGAGCAGTTGAACGTCCACTCCATGCATTCATTGATATCTAAACACAAGWGACCATGTTAKCKTACAAAATTCAAGTCGTGACGTATTTCCTGTTCCGGTTGCTCAATGCAAAAGCTAAATTAAGACCACAGTTTTAATCCAAAATATGCTTTCCACTTGCCATAAGCAGAATTTTCCTACTATAAAGAAAACTACAAGAAAAATCTTTACAGAATTGKTTTTTTTTATGAGGCCCTAAGTCTTTTCTTACACAAATGATATTACAACCCTAAAATTTTATCAGTTATTATAATTGTACATTGAACATTTTTAAGTTAACTAGCTTCATTGTTTCAGAATATGTATATTCCATATTCTCTTTATTTAATATAAATTGATTATTTATGCTTTTACTCTTAATTCATCTTTAGACTTATTGTAATGCGCATCTGAAACCTTTTTTTAAAAAATTGATATTTGCGCACTATAAATTAATATGCATCCAGGTACCATCTTCGTCATATGGTTATAAAACAGACGAAATAAAAGTCTTACCAATGCAAGTTTTGTTGTTAGAAGAGAGTCTAAATCCTTGAAGACATGAACAATAGTAGTCGCCTTTCGTGTTGTGGCACCTTTGGTTACAGSGGTTCTTAGTGGCACACTCGTCCACGTCTGCAATCATATGCAAAATACAATCAAGTACGTCCACTCCTGCTCATTTATGGGGAAATATCTGGACTAACTTTAAACACCAATGAGTGTCTAGACTACGGTATGTGACGTCATGGGAATATATGACGTCATTTCTCTCACTGACAATTTATCACATCAGGAAATCTATTACACGTTTCTTGATTATGACCAGGTATTTTCCTGGCAAATCAGTGCACGGGGTTTTGTTGGTACTGTGATATTACCTTGACATGTCAGTTTTCTGGTCATTGATTATGACCAGGTATTTTCCTGGCAAATGCATGAGGTGTTGTTGGTACTATGGTATTACCTTGACATGTTATCTCGTCATCCTTCAGTTCATATCCTTTGTAGCACGAACATTTCTGTTGATTATCCGATAATTTGTAACAAACTTGTGTGCACTGAYGCTCATCCTTTTGGCAGGGATTCGTAGCTGTGGATAAAGAAACAGCTGCTTGGTACAAGGCATAGCAGGGAAACCAACACGACCATCCCAAGGAGACGCCAATGAGGAGAAGGAAATTGTCTGCCCCCTTATATTCAGCAAGAAAACGATCCTAGCGCCAATATTCTTCGTTTTTGTCACATATTCTTCTTGCAAAGGACTAACCCTTTTTTATGAATTCCCATAAGACATTCAAGTGACAAAAAGGTAAAAAATTAATAAAGAGATAAAGAGAAAAGAAGAACGAGATAACTCGGGTTTACTACTCACGAACACAAAGCTTTGGGTTTCCTGGGTCAACTTTGAAGTTGTCGTTGCAAGAACAATTGTAACTTCCTGGAGYGTTTGTACATTTGTGCATGCAGTCGCTTGCCGGAACACACTCGTCTATGTCTACAAGTATAGCATAATAAAACCTTGATTAGCTATGCATTGAACTATTTGAGTTGATGTGTTTACAGTGGTGGAATTAAAGGGGGTTACAGGGTGCCCATGCACCCTCCTTTTAGCTCGGAATTAGTAGGTTCAATTACTCTGTAAAGTTTGTAAAGAGCTAAAACCTTAAGGTGCACTTTCTTAATTTGTGAGCCCCTCCCCCTCTCCTCGAAATGCTAGATCCGCCTTTGTGTGATAGATCTAGATACGAATTATTTACGTGGAGGGAACTTACCTTGACAGGTTTTCTYGTCTGCCTGGAGCTGATATCCGCTTTTGCAAGAACATTCGTAAGACCCTGGTTTGTTGAGACAAAGCTGGTCACAGTCTTCATTATCATCTCCACACTCATCAATGTCTAAAGGAAAGAAGCAATTAATATCTTATCTCCATTTTGGTTCATTCAGCAAGTGGTTTTAGGTTCCTATAATACTGAATTGTATAGTCCAACGATCCTCATATATATTTTTGTATCTGTGAAACCGGTTTTCGTTCAAGAGGGACTTCTGCACCTGCGTACCAGCTACTACAAAGTGGTTCATCCCCTGAGTACCTGCTTGGACAGGCCACACATTCTTACATCGCATGTATTCCCGTACCAATTCCAAGTTCTCCATCCCTAGTTACCCGACTGATGGGATACGAACGATAGACCTTTTTACCCATACGGCGGCCATCTTGAATTCTATTGCTTTAATCAAGACATTATGGGATGTCGAGGTCAGTAGCAAATATTGGGAAAATTATAGACTGCACAGCTGTCAGGATGACTTAACTTTACACTTTTCAATGAGAAACACATCTAAAAAGCAATTTAATTTGCTGGTAGTTGGAACAATATGCAAAAGTCCAAAACTTATTAACTTATATRATTATTTTAAAACGTAACCCCGCTATTATATGCTTTATAATTATTTTACGTGTTTTTTCCCCTCAGCATCCCATAATTCAAGATGGCCGCCGTATCAGTAAAAAGGTCTATTCCCTCAAATCACCTATATTCCCGTACCGGCACAAGGTGCTTATCCCTTGGGTAGGTACCCCATTGGACAGGGAACAGATTCTTCATCGTACCGCAACTCAATCAACTGTGCACACACCGGCGTACCTTTACAAGAGGCTCCATTTCCTGTGTATCCATCGGGGCAAGGAGCGCATTCGTAGCCATCAGTCACGTTAGCTGGAGGMGGCAAGTCAATGCAATCTACTCCAGGATAACAAGGGTTTAGATTTGCTTCACACGCATCGATATCAGTCTCACAATACTTCCCCGTGTATCCATCCACGCAGTTGCAAGCATTCTCGATAAACTTCTCTTCCCCCGAGTCTGCGCCAGTGATCTTGCTTGGCTTTTCACAGTGTCCTCCGTGGTGACATGCGCAGAGGTAAATTTTTGGTATTAAAGCGGATACAGATTCACCATCTGATGCGATAAACTGAAGGTCAAGCTGATAAAATAATAACATCTTGTTAGCATATTGTTCTTTCGTATTTTGTTGTATCTATTATATTTCGACGAGTACAAAACACAGCGTCTTGTGAAGCTAAGTGACATGATCTCACGAACAAAATGGCGGCCGTCATGAATATAATTTTGCAAAGTCAAACAATGCAGCACAATAGAAAGTATATACTTGGAAACGGTTGGTAAAAAGGTCTTTGTTACCTTTTTTGTGGTAACTTGCCAATTGATGTTCCAATAAGATGTGTTTGAGTGTCTCACTTGTSCGTCAGCAGGTAAACCAGTGACATTCAACGTAATCGAATCATCGTTGGCATCAGTCACCTCCACAATCACAGTAGCTGTTGTATTGACTGTAAGTTCTATTACTGAGGAACTGTTGCTGATCTTAGGCGGGTCGTTGCCTGCGTTGAAAGTGGTAAAAACAAACCATTTAAATGTGCAGACACCCGGTTAGCTCAGTTGGTTGGGCAACGGCATCTCGTGCGGGAGGTCATGGGTTCAAGCTCTGACCGAACCAACTTCCAACACTCAGGGCCTTAAAATATATGAGTAAAAGGTGCTGCCTTTGCTTTAAGGATACTTACAAATGCTTAGAATAGCATTCGTCGTGGCTCGGATGACCACGTAAAATGGCGGTCCCGGCTCACTTAGAGACGTTACTCATGGAGACGCAATTAGTTCATCCCCTGCGACTCTCAAGTTTCATCCTCCCAAGTAAAGTTGCTTTAATTTTTTTTACTTTACTTTGTATTGCAGAAAGCTTTTGTAAGAATTACTGAACTTACTCATTTTCTTGGAGTCATTGACGAGTTGTGATCCCAGCTGCTTGGTACTCAGTCCTATCTCTACGTCTCCAGTCGATGCCGCATCAAACAAACAACTTGCGTCACCTTGACATTTCGTTTCTGCCTCTATTCTCAGCGAATAATTGTAAAACTTTAATTCTTCTAAAAACATTGGACGGAACGTTTTATTGAGAAACGTGTCGGAGCTTTCACCTTCTTTGTACGTAAATAGCGAGGTTTCGTTGGTAACTTGCCCTGAAAATGGGTAAAAAGATTGTTAGCAAAGTATAACTTAGAATCTTTCGTTCTCTGCTTTTATGCGCATCTGTTATCTGTGTTTATTTCAATGTAGTTGATTAAAAAAAGAAACTCGTCATCGCTAGTTATCACCGCAAGTACACCAGTGACGCGGCTAAACGGGGTCGAACTGAAAGCATGTGAGGGCTCCTCTGGCAGCCGCCATACAGTCCATGTATGTCCCCAGAGCACAGCTCTAACAAGTTTGAATTAGTTAGGTTTGATTTTTGACTGGAGGTGTGATAAACAATCGTTATAAACAATCGACCCAACAGCAATAAAAGACGAACATTTTAACGGGAATAACTGAATAACAATACATGTTAATGATTATCTAAATTAAAAAGATACTTCTTAAGATCACGTTTAAAAATAGCCAAATAGCATTTTTCACCGTTGCTTAAAATGGATATCGCAAAGCCTTGTGGGATCGAAATGCTGACAAACATTGCAAATAAAGGAAATATAGGTAAGTTGTAGTGCTTGGGAACGAGGTTATTCCGGGCGAAAGCCCTTGGAAT